AGTGCTTTAAAAAACCCCAAACAACAAAATCTTCTTCTGCTTTGTACTCTTGGCCTGTCCTTCTGCAGCCCCCTGATGCCAGAACATGCAGCATGGAAAGAATTTTATGAACTTTCTGTCAGCATTGAAATCTGAACTTTTTACCCTGGCTGTAAAGCAGCAAAACCCTCCCCTCTCCTCCCTTATTTTAATGGTGTTACTGCTTATTGTTCTCCTCATGCCTTCCACCCAAAGTGCTGGAGTGCAGCACAAAGCTCTCCATTTGCTCTCCTCGAGTAGGAGCAGAGGGAAAACAGACACTGGGAAATTGCATCTACTGCCTCTAGGCTGGAACAAAAGCTGTTTCTCCACTGTCAGGGTTAATCAAAGCATGAACTTGAAATTGCTCTGTTTTTCCCTCCCTCACCTTTGCTTCTGACTCGTGGCTCATCAGACAGTTCTGACTGTTTCACTTCTAGAGAGACATTAAAGTGTGGAAAAGTATTTGAGATTGATCTTCGGTTTTAATTCCATATGGAAACTGTCTGCTCCATGAAATTTCCCAAGCCTGAAAATCTCCCTCAGTAAGCCTATTGCACTTCAGTGCCTTGGCAATAGGCTTTTTAAATATTTTGCAATAGGATTTCCTTTAAGAGAAAATACTTTAAGTAGGACACCAACAGGCCTTGGCCTTTCTATATCATGTGAAAAGTGCTCTAACTTGATTCCTGTGCTCCAACTCTGTCAGGTAAATTGAAGGACCTTTCCCTTTTCAGCAGCCCTTGGATACACAGCAGAGCAAAGTTGCCTTTAAATGGGCCTTGCACTTTCATTCTCTTCTGTGATGCATTTACAGGTAGCTGTGTAGAGTCAGATAACAGCTCAGAGAGAGTATTGATAGCAACATGATGTATGGTGCTTTTGGGCAGGAGATGAGCACACCCACTGGAAGACTGTCTTGATGCAGCTAACCATCCATCTTTATTTATTAAAAAAACCTGAAGTTATTGGTCTTTCCATGATCTAGCAGCGTGCTGCTGACAGCAACTGCAAGAGGGCATGCTTTTAAAATGGACTGCTCTTGTGCTAACTTTTCAGCCCCCTAAGACTTTTATGTTGTTTCTGGATAAAACATGCAGATGTGTTTCACTGCTACAACCAGACTTGGAAAACATTTCCCAGCCCCTCATTAGAAAACCCAGATCAAGTTAATTATTTCATATACCTGGGGATTCCTGTGCAGTTCCAGCTGTAACAACTGTGTTGGGTACCTGTTGTGTGATGGCAATTTTGGACTCTCTAATGTGGTCAGCAGTCAGGGAAAATTTGCTTGCTTGTTTAATGTAAATAAATATGCCTGGAGCTGCTTGCATAGCTGAGTTTCCCACAGCAGTGAGAAGGTTTGCTGAGCTCACGGTGCTTTGGGCAGCACGTGCACACTAGTTCTGTCCTCTGTAATGTGTGATCCTGCCCACAGGCTCTTGAACCGAGCCCAAGAGGTGTGGGATATACTGAGGTTTGGGATTTTGGGCTTTTCAGCTTTCTGGCTGCTGAACATTTCCTGCTTCTTTAATCTAGGCCTGTTCAGCCTGGATTCAGCATTTCCTTTCGCTTTGAAAAGTGTGGCTTTGGGACCAGCCCCAAAATTTCACTGTGTATGGACTAGAAGTTTACCTTGAAGTGGGTTGGGAACTGACAGGGCCCTGCTTGCAAAGTCACAGTGTGTGTGCCAGAGCAAAACACATCATCAAGCCACTGCCACTTTGTTTCTCATATTTTATTGCTATTTCTCATTCCAGGTGTTTGCAGCTCTGTGTCACAGAAGAATTGGATGTGCACTGCACCAGCAGCAGCCCTGGGAAGCAGACTGCTACATCCTGGTATGATTTTAGTACTATTTGAAGATGCAAAGAGCAGGGAGGGGCTTGGAAGGTAGAAAGACTGCTATGTTTTGGGTTTTTTTCTCTTGTGTGAAAATTTATTTTTATTTAAAAAACACAAGAAAAAGAATTATACTACATCTAGAAGGCTGAGTTGTGACTTGTGGCTGAACACTCTTGATCACTAGAGCTGCTGTTGGGTTAAATACTTGCGCCGTGTCATCTGGTGCTTATGACTCACCATCTCTAACTGTTTTAGCCTAACTTGAATTGTTTCCACTGAGGGCAGTCAGTGCAAAATGCATTTCCCTCCAGTTCTCTTCGTCTCTTCAGGTTCATTCTGGATTTGCTCATGAGCTACTCCTGCCTCTTCCATTTGCACTCAAATCGGTGCAAAGGCTAAAATTCTGTGATGATCAGATTTGTTTTCCTTTCAAACCTCTGCTCTTCCCAAATAGTCTGGTCAATCTTTCCCATGGTTTCACTCCAGCATTTCTTCCCTGCTTCATGAAGTTATGCAAATATTTCCTTGCTTAAACACACATTGATAACATTTTATATTGACTGGAGTAGATTTTTACTCCTAACATCATCTGTTGGCAAGAAGATCTTACTCGGCTCTGATTAACCTATTCCTACTGTTGCAATTCATCTTGGATCATGTGTTTCAGACCTCCTTCCAGAGCAGGAAAATATTCTGTGTTCTCACATGCAAGACTCCTTCCTCTGTCCTTCACTGATTAGAAATCCAGAGGTTATCTTCCACTGACTGAACATTACTCATGCTTGGCCAAGAGTAAGACTGTGCACAGAGATTAAAATGATGAGTTATTATGTGTAAGATGACCAAAGGTAGAAGAGTGGAAAACCATTTCAAATACCTTGAATTGAAATAATGTAGACTTCTGCCACTGGAAATGGGAAGCAAAGTGTACACAGGGACACTTACTGCAGAACAGCAGGCATGTGTTAGTGTGGTTCCAAATCCACAACCCCCAATACAGAGTTTAAAGGGAAAAATGGAATTCAATACATCTGTTTTACCACTTCCTTAAATTTGAGAGTTGCTATAAAATAGTAAGGACACTAAATAGGGCATTGGAAGCAAAAATCTTACAATCCAGAAGAACCCATCCTAAATCAGAAGCTATGAGAGGAGGTGGTGAGAAAACAAGCTTTTCCCCCTTGCCTCTTAATGTGCTATTATACACATGACACACTGGCAACATTTTCATTGGGATGACAGAAATTGTGTGTTGCAGTGCCTGCTTTAAACTATAGTTGGCATTACAGGGAGCCAGGGATTCAAAGCTTGGATTACAGTGCTGGGATCCAGGAGAGGCTTGCTGCAGCAAGGAGAGGGAGAGGAGAGAGGTAGGCCTGCTGCCTTCCTGAGGCAGTACAGTTGCATTCCACGTGGTCACATCCTAGCTGCTAAATAATGTTAGACAAATAGACACCTTTTTCCAAATTATGCACCGGTTTGTTTCATTTGTGCAGTTTAATGAATACATTTGTATCAGGAAAAGTAACATTCTAATCTTTGTGTATGGTACTTACTATAGTAGATATTCTATTAACCTATTTCCAAGTGGCAATGACTACAGCTTTATTAGTTTCTAGAGTCTTATTAATTGTTCATGTGATACCGACACAGCTTTTTTTAAATTTCCACATTACCCAATAACTTTTCCTTATCTGGCATCTGAGTCACTGAGGAGGTTTGGCTTCCTCTGGCTGTGCTCACACCTGTGCCATTTGGCACTGGAGGCCCTGTTATCACCGTTTTTATGTGCCTCATTCTGATTGACAGCATTTTGGAGTGTGCTAAGCAGGGCAGAGTTAGATCCCACTGCATTTCCTTGTGTGTGCACTTTCTAGATGGTGAAGCTTGGAATATGATCCAGTGTGGTCTGCGTCTGCTCTGGATATAATGTGTAAAGGAAAAAAAGACTTAATTTTGCAGAAAGAGGTGGGTGTGTCTGAGCAAGATTGTGCTTAAACTAAAAGCAACCCTTTTCAATGTCAACTACTCTTTTTTAAAACCACTGCGTAATCTGTAATGTTTTCTCTAATATTGCTGTTCTACAGTAATTCCATAGGTGCATTTCCACATGCATGTTATGAGCAGCTCACTATTCCCTTCATGCACCTTCCAGCATGTGTGGAATGCTACCTCAATAGATTAGATTCATAATCAGACTTAAATAAATAAATCGGGACATTTTAGCAAACCATTTGATCCTTGCTCCTGCAGAGGAAGCCAGCTGGGTGGATCCTGTGTTTTTGCTGAACTGAATGTGCACTTCTGGTACAACAAGGAATGCTGGACAAAATATTTAAATTTATACCACATTCTGCATTGCTGTTGATGTTTTCTGAGGTAAACACAACTCACTGTAAGACAGAAGTGACTGTTACACGTTAAAACGCTCACACAGTAGGATTATGTTCGTGTTTTATTTTGGCACAGACAGTAAATTCCATTTGCATTGCAGTTACTTTTCCTTCTTTCATCTGACATGCAGCTGGATGGTGCTTGTGTGGCTGAGGGAGCAGGTCTGCAGCTTTAGATGAATCAGCTCATTGACTGGCCATGCAGACTGATCCTGCTTGCTCTCCCAAACTGGATATTTTCTCTATACCAGGGTCAGTGAAATGATCCTGCTGGAAGACATTAAGTAAACATTGTCATCACCCCAAACTCTCACCATACTGATGGTCTGGAGCTACAGCCCTTACGCTCTGTTCCAGCGCTGTGCTTGTTTTGCTAACCTGGCTTACTTGGAGGCTAACCCAGGTCAGCTAATGAAATGCCTGCTTTTTTTACTAAACGTCTTCTTTTCAGAGTTGTCCTTTAGTGCTGGGTTATGATCCCCTTCAGATTAACGGGAACTCATTTCTATATCCGTTTCATCAGGAGGGGCCTCGAGCACCTGCTAGAGCCCATCTATCCACAGTGTAATTTTTCTATTAAAAGGTTTATGGCGACTAAGAAACACAGCAGTAATTACACACCCGCCCATGGCATAGCAGGGATGGAGGAGCAAGCCCCGGGGCTGTGCAGGGTGCCGCTGCCCGGCCTCCAGGCGGTCCCGGGGAGGCGGCCGTGCCTCGGCTCCCGCCCCGGGTGGGGCCTGGCCCGGCCCCCGGGTGAGGCAAGAGCCGTGCTGGAGCGGGTCCTGCTCCCTCCTCCTTCACTCGGTGCTCCCGCTGGCTCGGAGCGGCTCAAGGAGCGGTAGGAGGTGAGGGGCACCGGCGGGGGAGGCGAGGCGGGCGGGCGCTCACTGCCCCTCGCTGTCCCTCCCTATCGCTCCCTGTCGCTCACTATCGCATCTCTCTTTGCAGACTCGGATCGGCCCCACCCGGAGGATCCCAGAGATGGCGAAGGTGAGGAGGGCGGTAGCCCCGGGCTAACGCGGCCCCTGCCCGGCCGCTCCCGGGACATCCTTGTCTTATCCGTCTCCTTTTACTCCTCACGGATTGATTTTCGGGCTCCCTTGAACCACTCCATCCCGAGCTGGGCAGACGCGGGCGGGCGGGGGCCAGGGATCATGTGAGGCGCGCGTCAGACACATTTTTTTTTTTTTCCGCCAGTTTCCACTAATTTGGCCAAGTTTTCGGTACCCTGTGTTTATAGCGCGCCTGGGTGGAGGCTCCTTCCACTAAAAGAGGAAGGAGAAAAAAATACTGCCGTGGCAGTGCCTAGCGGAGGCTTGGGGCTCGGTATTCCAGTCCCCAGTTTTCCCATACCTAACATTAATTTTTCTGGAAGCCTTGGAGTTCTCGTGCAGTTCTTCGTTTGATATTTTTTCGATCTGCAGCACTTTCCTTCCTGTGGTTTGAGGCTGGATGAAGGCATGGAAAATGAGGCGGACTTGCGTTTGTTTCTGTAGTTGCATCAAATGCATGCGCTCTGAAAAGTAAAACAGGAGTTTAATGGCTTATTTGCGGGTTTAGGAGGGCTATAGGAAGTGAAAGCAATCAAAGTGTATGAGTGCTTTCACAAAGGTCAGGGTAATTGCACTTAATGAGTGGAGCGATTAGTGGTGTTTTAACGCCCCCATGAATGTTTACTCATACTCTGGATATAGTTTTGGAGAGAGAAAGAAGGGATTTTTGTTTCTATAAACATCAGTCCTGGTTTGTAGGATGCATCTTAGGAGAACAGAGACCCCTACCCATGCCAGGGCAGGAAACCTGAACAGATGAATATACTTGAACAATAAGCCTTTTATTACAGAATATGTAGCATTGCTTATAGGCTTGAAGGTAACTTCTTTTTAGTAAAAGCATGAAAATTATAATACTCTTGTCTGTTCCACAGAGACTCCAACTTTAACTCTGAATCTTTTTAAAAGGAATATTTCATTCTTCAATAGTGCAAACCAGTTAGTCTTGTCTTCACGTTGTAGAATTTTCTACTGCCTGCGGTGACACCTGAGGCTGGGTTTTTAACTGTGATGGATGGTGGTAGGTTAAAGTCATTTTGTTTTGTACTAGGTGGGCCTTGTTCTCCAATTTCCACGTTCAGGGATGTTTTCCACTTCAGTAGTATTCTTGGCCCTTGCAGTTAGGCAGCCATGAAAGGCTGGGAGTGTTTAAGCTTTTAGCCTGTAATTCGTTTTATGAAAATAAAAACCAAAGTTGAAGAGGAAACTCTACTCCTCCTGGCAGGTATCTTTCTAAGTTTTGTTGCATCATGAAATAGTGGCAAGAATGTAAATGCCCATTAATCATGAACTGTTGAGTGTCAATTGACAGAAGCCCTTTATGTGCACAACTAAAGGTTCAGAGTTCACAAAGGGCTGCACAGCACGGTGTAGTGAAGCCCAATTTAGTCCAGATACATCACTGAAGAATAAAATCTTTGAAAAAGGTGAGTTATATTTGGAATCTTGGTCTTGCTCAGTTCTGGGAAGATTTTATTTTTTTTTAGCCCAAAGACCTGAGGAACTTCTTGTGTTCCATGTCTAGAACAAAAAGGGTCATTCATTTTGTAGGAAAACTACAGCGTGCTGTGCTGTGCTGTGCTGCACAGACTGGTCTCTCCACGGCTATGTTTATCTGCTTTTTTGAAGGAACACTGTCCTAACAAGCTGCCTTTTCTCTCACCTCTGTATGTGCAGTGCTCTGTTACTGTATAGATGAGTATGGTACCATCTCTTACTGCTCAGTGACCAAGCTGGGAAATCTACCCTGTGTTTGCTAGTTCAGAAATCTGGAAAAAGAGAAACAAGCATATTCTCTGCTTGCATCCTGGGGGCTGATCTGTTTTGGTCTGCTACTCCCATTTTTTTTTTTCTTGACTGTGAACTTGGGAGTATTTTGTGTATCCATTTGTGACCTGCCAGGAAAGGATCCCTTACTGCTGGTGAAGGTGTGGCCGCTCTGTGCTATATCTAGAGTTCCTGTTCTGCCAATGTGCACGTGTGGCTGGGAGCACAGGAACAGTGTTGCCAGCTCCAGTGGTGCTTCAGGGGATTGTCTCACATTCCAAAGTACAAACCCTTTTTCAGCATCTGGGCCCTAAGCAGCTCTCTGGCTCTGGTGAGGTTGTTTGTGAGGACAGGTTCTTTGAGTGGATTTGCAAATGTCCCTTCATTGGTTCCTACCTTGCTGCTGCTGCTCACTGTTCTCCCTCTTCCACCCCCTCTCTTCCTTTTTTGTTTTTGACTTCCCTCCTCCCTGTCTGTGGTATCTCCATGGTGTACTGACTCAGAGTTCAACACAGATGTTGTGTAATTACATTTTTTTCTCAGGAGTTTAAATTTAGTGGGGCAGATGTGAGTGTAGTCTGCTGACCAGAGCTTACTCCTCGTTTCAGTGGACAATCTGAAGCATTGCTGAACTTAAAGAGGTGTTTTGTAGAGATGTCTTTAGACCTGTGCATTTGCATCCACTCACAATGTAACTTGCATTGTACTGCCCTCAACATTTTGGTGAGAATATAATGAAATAATGGCATATTTCTTGTGTGATGTGAGTTTTAAAGCACAAATTGAACTGGGATCTCTGTGTGGTCTCCAATGGCCACAAAGGCTTTCAGCTCAGCAGTGAACACTGTGTTGTGTTTATCTGCAAGGTGGCTGTTCTTGTGCAAGAGATCTTGGGACAAGCTTCCATTTATTCTAGCATGTGACCTTGTGGGCTCTTCTGTCTGCTGGAAATAGCACACCTTCTCTCTTTGTCAACATGTGTGCTGGTAAATATTCTCCCTTTCCATTCTTGCTACTCCACAGTTTTCCTGTGCTATCTTGTAAACAGATGGCTGCTTTAAGAAAACCCCACAACTCTTCTAACACGTTCTCTGCACTAAACACTGGGCTTTGCAGCAGCAAAATTTTGAGATGCTGCTTTTGTTGGTGCAGAGCAGCCTTGTGAAAGGAGGCAACTCTTTATCTGGGGGAAATCTGACTGATAAGAACTTGCTGTGATACATACAGGGCAAGGATAGAGGAAGAACTCTGAATCAGTTCAAGTATGGCCTTTTGTTTGCTGCTGTGAATGCTTTGTATTGAACAGTGGCTAAATGTGGAATCTTGTGGGTGGGAAATATTTTGTGTGCTTGGTGAGAAAAATTAAAAGGAGCCTCGTTAAGTGGCTATTGTTGATCTTGCAGATAATGCTGTTGCCAGGATATTGTGGCCATATCAAACTGTCTCCTGGGAGAAGTTCATCTAGCTCTGAGCTCCTTAGAAACAGCTCACCTGATGATGTATCTTCTGCAAACTTTTGCTAGAATAGCATTAAAAAAAATACTAGAGAAAGTGCATATCCTCATTTGGAGGGGCATGAATTCTAAAGCAAGGTCATCTCTTGCTTTGAAGTCTTTTTTTTTTCTTTTCTTTTTTTTTTTTTTTCCTCTACCTTTGCTCCTCATGTTAATTTGATGTGTCCAGGGACTTCCTTGGTCTCATTGGGAGGTGTCTGGAGAACATGTCAGCTACTGTTTATTTCTACTGTGAAATCACAATTTGCGTTTGCACTACACATGATTCCTTAACAACAGTCAGTGTATCAGGGAACTTAGAAAGAAAAGAATGTGGGTCAGTTTGGGGTGTTACAATCTTGTGATACACTTTCTGTGGAGAACTTGTGTGTTGTGCTTCTCTTTGTATTTAACTGCCCATTGTAGGTGTTGGGATTTATTAAAGGATGGCTCCAGATTCCAAAAGGGTTTATATCAAAGACTGTGTGTGTTTTCCCGCTTCATTGGTGTGCTTTGGGTTCTACCAGGTGGGAAACTTGGTAACCAAAGGAAAAGGGACCTATGAGGCTGTAGTGTTATTGTGTATCTGTTTGCATAGGTGGCAAGGAACGTTTATAGATATACTAAAAATACAAAGCTTTTTAGAGAGGTAAATAAGTTATGAAGTTTGTAAATAAATGTTAAATAGTTGTCTTTCATCATTTTTCATATTGGGTTAGATGGCATAGCACTTCTGATGCTGCAATCCATCTGCAAGAACCAATTTGTTTCAAGGAAAGTTTACATTCTACTTAGTGTTGAAACTTTAGCTGAGTTGTCTTGATAAATGAGTGTGGCTTCTGTCAGAAACTTTTGTATGGATCTGTTATTTTGTTAGAAATGTCTGGTTCGTAGCTGCTGTTTCAGATTTACAGTGACTGCAAGGTGGCTTCAGTGGTTCAGTCAGGGATGGTGGTGTAGAACATGTCTTGCCCTCTCTTTCTCTGACCCAAACATGCCATGCTGGGGAAGGAGGAGACAGCTCTTCCCTCCTGGTACCTCCTGGTGCAAGGACTCTTGTTGTGCTGGATGGCAGAGCTGCAGCACTACTTCTGCCTTGCAAGAGAGGTGTGGCTCAGGTTCTGATGGAGGGTGATTGGGGCAGGTAGGGAGCCAAAATCAGCCCAGTGCTCTTCATCACAAGGAATGCCCGGAATGCAAATGGTGCTCAGGCACCAAGAAAGGTCTGTCAGACTTCAGCTGCACCAGAAGATTTTCAGGAGCTACTCATCAGGCTTAGTGTGTGTTGAGGCTTTCCATGCAGTGCTTTGGAAAAGAGAGTCATGAAGGATTGGGAATGGTAATGCAGAGGTAGATTTAATGTAGCATTTAGTATTCACACATATATTATCTACAACAGCCACTGAGGAATGTTGGGCCGTTGTCACAAGGCTTGGGAATTGTGAAGAGGAATTCCACTTGCTTGTAACAAGATAAGCAAAGGAAAACTTTAGGTTAAAGTTCAATGACTGCATCCTCTGCATTTTCTCTACCAAAGGAGAATCATGGTAGTTCTGTAATATTAGTTATGTTAAGGTGATATGAAACAAAACAGTGGGAAATCCACTTGTAAATAACCCCATGCTGGCTGGTGTGGTAGTAAGGGAGGAGGAGGGAGAGGCTTTTCAGTCTTTAGCTAATTTACCAAATTAAATTTGATTTATAAAACTGCATCCCAAATCCTTGAGACTTTTTTCATGGTAGCCTTTGGAATTATCTAGGAAGATGACAATCAATACAAATTGCTCTGCCTAAAATCAAAGTGCTGCCTAAAAACTTACTTGTAATGGGAAAAGCAGAATGTTTCGGTGGGATTGCTCTGAGTTAAGCTGGGTATTGGAAAGCATCTACCAAAAAGAAGCTTGTTGCTGTTAAACACCGTGATACTTTGTGTTCTGATCTGCCAAAATACATGAGAAATAAAGGTGACTCATTACTCTGCTGCAGTGGGAGGGGTGGGGAGTCTGCTGGCAGTGACACAGAGGTGGCCTGAGAGGCAGGAGTGCTTCAAGGCACTTTGTGGTTCGTGCTCCCTGCCCTGTTCTCTCTGACCTGTCTGAGTGCATTGACTGGAGAGCAGAGCATGGAGTGCCTGAAATTGCTGACTTCAGGAAGGGCTGTAGCCCAGAGGCCAAATGGCTGTGCTGCCAGCTGAGTGATCTGCTGCCAGGCTCAGGAGGTGTCTTGGCACTTCCTTTCATGCTCTTTCTAGACAGTGGAAAACTGCCCTGTCTGTACTGATCGTTACATTTGGACAGCAATGCTTGCAGATTTCCCTGCTTCAGCTGTTGGAAAAACCTTCCTGTTCCCCCAGCCCAGCTGTTTGCCTTTTTGACCATTGCTTGACTCTTTATATTTTATTACTTAACTACTATGCTATGTACATATATATGGTATATTCAAGGTTCCTGAACTATCATGTTTAAATAAAGGCAAAACTTTTCCATAAGGGTGATGAGTATCCTTTTGTGTTTAATCCAAAGAGAAAATCCCTGAGGAGCCGTGTTCCATGGAAACCGAGTGGAATTATTTTTGTGTTTGGACAAGCTGATCTCTTATCCTTATGTTTGAACTGTTATTTCTCTTTAGCTGTAAACTGATGTGGCTGAGTCACTTGTGTAAGAAGTTGCTCATGTCAAAAGCAACAGGATGAAAAATTGAAAGCCACTGCAGAGTTCAGTAGGTCTCATTTGCAAGGTGGTGGAAAAAATCAGTGTGATGCTGCTTGAGAGTTCCAGTAGTTTTTTCTTGTGGACAGGAAGTTCTTGTTTCCAAACCTGTCTTGGATCTTTGTGCAACTTTCCTAGCGTAAGTGATTTGTGCGATTAATTTTTCTAACTACTTTAGCAAATGGTAACTTCTTAGTAATTTTCCTGCATGCAGTCTCCAGTGTTGTAAATACCAATTCTGCAAACTACTGTCATGTAAATATACCCAAATTTAACTGGGGTACCACTGAGCAAAACTGTACTAGGACCTTTTGAGGGAACTGTGTTTAAATACCCACAGACTGCAATTTGGCCAGACAATTGCAAGAAAAATGCTATCAGCTCCAGACTGTGGATTCAAACTTGATCTGAGCTCATGTATGGAGAACTGCAAGATATGATATTTTATTTCATGTTTTTTCTCTCTCCCCTTGACCCCTTTTTCCCCCTCTAGTACACGAGAGGCACCGTGACAGCCTTCTCTCCTTTCGATGCCAGAGCTGATGCAGAAGCTCTTCGTAAGGCCATGAAGGGAATGGGTAAGGATAACTTTGATTTTACAAAAAGGAAAGGGCTCTTTCTCCTCCAAAAACATCCTTTCTGAACTCATTTTTCTATCTTAGTAGATGAGAGTAAGGCCTGTGTCTACATGCCATGGAATGACAACCCCAGGAGTGCACTGGTCTGGACCTGTCCTGGTTTTGACTGTGCTGCTCTCAAGGATGTTTATTTTTAGCTTAGAACAAGGGGAAAAAAGGTGGTTTGCACACTCCCCATAAAAAAAAAGGATACTCCATAGGCTTTAGAGCAGAGTTTTACAGCACAGTAGCTTGACTGTGGATTTACAGGCAACAGCTGTGGAGAATTATGGCAGTATGGTAGAAATTGCTTGGAAAATCCGCAACAGCCTCCTCAGTCTGGAAGTGTGTGAGCACATTACAGAACCTGGGAACAAAGCATACAAGCACACAGCAGGAATGCAGACTAACCACTGGTCTGTAAACTCACACTGTAGCTTTCTGACCCAAAACTCCCCTGGGAGAACAAATCCTGATTTGCTGCTTTCTTTGGAGCCACTTGTGGAAGGAAGGGAAGAAGATACATGTGATAGACCTCAGCCTCCAGGCAAATGTGAGGACTACCTTGCAAGCTGTTGTATATAGAATGGGTAATAGCTCCACACTTGTGTACTCTGAGCTGTTTGGGGTTACTGGACTGAGTTTTGCCAGGATTTGGCAGATTGCTGGTGGGCCCAAAGCCTCTGCGTGGAATACAGACTGTGACTAAACGTTATTATTAGTGCCTGGAGCACAGTCTGACACAGAGACTGATGGAGAACAAGCAACACGTAGGTCCTCCAGTCATACTTTTGCAACAGCAGGACACCCACCCTGGTGGCTCAACTTGGGTTATGGTGACATTTGTTATTTTAAATACTTCTGCTGTTTGTCAGTCAGCTGTTGCTTTCAGAGCATCTTTCATTGCCTTTCGAGTTTGTGCCACTGCTGTTTGTTTTTTAGAGCGTGTTTGTAACTCTTTGTTCTTTTTAACTTCAGGGACTGATGAGGAAACTGTGCTGAAGATCCTGACCAGCAGAAACAATGCTCAGCGCCAAGAAATTGCATCTGCCTTTAAAACCTTGTTTGGCAGGGTAGGATGAAGAAAATACCTCTGGAAATGAGCTGGTTGTGGCTTAAGATGATTACTTAAAACTCTGAGGCACATTCATCACGTGAATGTGTAACACTGTAAAACATTCCTTGAAAGCAAATCTAATTTTGCTTCTGTCTCCCCCTCTCCTCCACCCTGCAATATCCTTAAAAAAATCACAATGTGTTTTGGGTTTTCCATATACCCATGTATTCTTTTCTTCTGCTTTATTTGTTTCAACTGAGGTACCAATTAAAACAGAAATGTGTCCCTTGTGCTTTTTTGGCTGTGTCTCCAGAGTCTCTTAGCTTGCAGACGCTGGTTAGTGCTTGTTCATTACAGCACTGTTTGCTCTGCTCTAGGATCTTGTAGATGACCTGAAAAAGGAACTTACTGGCAAATTTGAAACATTGATGGTGTCTTTGATGAGACCAGCATATATTTTTGATGCTCATGCACTGAAGCATGCCATCAAGGTAAGAGGAGGGAGGGGAATTAATGTTACATGAAATGCTTGTTACTCTTTTGTTTGTTTGTTTGTTTTTTTGGGGAGGGAGGAACTTCTGGCTGCTTCTCTTTGACTGAATACCTTTAGTGCCTTTCTGTGCAGGCCAGGTAAACAAACAATTTACAATATGGACGTGTAGAAATTTAAGTGTATTTTCTTCCATGTACTTTTTCTTTTCCCCTGTCTGATATCAGCCTGTGGAATGTCAGGAATTGCTCATCCATGGATTATTCGCAGAATTAATCCAAGTAGAGGCCATTGAACTTGACTAGTGTAAGGTAGTACTTTGTTTAATGACACATCCTTGTAAACTCCAAAGATCCTTGATGCCCAGCTGGTTAATATGTAGGCTTTAGTCAACTGTGCAAGCAAGTGCTCATGAACCTGTGACCCAGCAAACAGTAGCTCAGAAAACAGAAACTTCAGTCCTGGACGTTTTCTGTAATGTCTTTGTGTGCATTGGGGGAAGGGGAGATGACACCTGACAAAGAAACCGATAAAGGCCTTGTTGATTAAAAGAAAAAAAATGTATTCCCAAGTTCCTCTTATTGATTTAGGAGTCAAAGACTGAGAGGGAAATGACAGAACAGATGGGTGTAGGAAGGAGAATAGAGATAGTGAAACAAGAGTGGTTTTGTTCTTGCCACTTGCCAAAAAAAAAGACATTAAACACAAGATGACACAATTTCAGAGAATGTGCCTGCACAGGAGAGGATGTCAATACTGACTGCAGTTCAGCAAAGGGAAATAACAGAAAAGGAGATGTGATAGAGGGACTTCTGCACAGGATAACTGTGGGCATTAACTCTGTGCTGAAGGTTGTCCCATCAATTTTCACTGCTGCTCCTTAGCTCAGAGCTGGTGTAACTGTGCCTGCCTCACCTGGTGAGTAGGCACCTTCTTGGAACAGTCTGTGCTTTGGAAATGGTTCCATGTAACCTGGCAGGTTTGCATTTTGGATAGCTTTGTGTGCAGTTACATATCTTTGCATGCAGTCAGTATTCAGTGCTTTTCTTGCAGGAAAGGTGGGAAATAATGCACTGAAGCAAAAAAATGCCCAGTATTGCATTTCAGTGTTGCTTTTGTGAAATGACTCCTTTGTAAGCAAAACAGCAATGGCTTATTCGTACAAAGTAGAGTCAGCCTTGTGGAAACAAGATATTGGCCTGGCTTCTGTAGATTTTATCCTTGTAAAAGTGAGAGTGGCTGTTTTGTCTGCTGTAATTAGAGTGCAGCACCCTAAACTATCTGGGTTAGCAATTCTGTCCTCAAGTGTGTGTTTGCAGTGGGTTTGTTTAACAGCACAGTTCACAGAAGGGTGAAGATCATTGCTGGGTGGCTCTGTGTGTGTGTACTGCCTGATGACAGATGTCTGATGACAGACAGCACAGGAACTAGAGCTGAGATGGAAACTTAACTCTCTGCACTCACTCCTCTGGATCTCACTGACTGTGGCAGCCAAGAACTGAGGCTGTGCCTGAACATGGGAGGGCCCATCTGAGTCCTGCACCAGGGAGCTTTTGCTGATTGTTGGGTTGGCTTTGGAAACAGTCAAGTCAGAATGGGAAAAAATTCTTTTCAAAACCCCCACAATATACCAGAAAGAAAAATATATTTATTTCTTTATTTGGTCCAAGTGCACGAACTGATGCTTGCTTTTGATTGCCAAAGGGAATTCTTGTTTGCCTTTTGCTGTTCCATCAACTGATTGATACTTGCACCCCTGCAGGGAGCAGGAACCAATGAGAAAGTGTTGATTGAAATTCTTGCCTCCAGAACACCCGCGGAAGTGCAGCAGATTAAACAGGTTTATCTGCAAGGTAATTTTCTGTATAAAATAAAGGGTCTCCCTTCAGTCCTCCTAGTATTATTTTAGCTCATCTTTCACAGAAGTTCTACCTGTGAACTGATGGATGTGTTCAATTAGAGGGAATTCTTTCTGCTGTGTTGCAGAACTTCATATTGAAAGAAACTAAGAGGAAAACTAAAGGAAACTAAACTGTAAACTAAAATAGGGTTTTTTTCCAGGGCTATCAGTGCAGGTTGTTTTGTGCTTTATAGTTAAAATTCTTTCAAATGCATTCCTTTCTTGTACCCATTATTTTCATCCCTTTGACTGAAAGGTGATTTTTAGTAATTGGAAACTAGAAAAGTGGGATTACATAAAAAAAACAGAAGTGATTTTTTGCCTTTTTCTCGGTGTTCTGTTCAAATGCATTTGTGCAAAAGCAGGTGCAGCCATTTGACTGCCCACAGGAGTTTGTGCTTTCACCCTCTGTTTGTGGAGTTGGTTTTTTTAAGGCCATGTTTAATTCAACATATTTCTTTTACCTTTATGCAGATTCCTGCCACACAAGAAATTCTCATGTCTTAACAAATTTTGAGCCCAAACTCAGAACCTCTGAGGGCAAAATCTATTAGTACTAGACTTGTCTGGGCTCATGGGTTTTGTACAGTTGAGACTGCCATATATTAACCTAAATTCAGATCTGTATCCTCAAGAGCTGAATCTCTGCATGTCATGTTGTACTTTAAAATATTTTGAGTAATCTGTTCCTGATACTAGGGGTGAGGTGCTCTATTTTCACCTGAGTTACAGTACTGGTAGGTTAGAGGTGAAAGCAGAATATGTCCTGGCTGTTAAAGATGTTTCTGATGGATGATTCTACTGGCTGGGAGTCAGATGAACTTTTTGCTTTGCATTGCTGTCTCCTCAAAACATTGAGGAAGCCCGTAGAGTGGTGAATGGTTATTGCTCTTTCGCAGAGTATGAGGCTAACCTGGAGGACAAGATCACAGGAGAAACATCAGGCCATTTCCAGAGGATGCTGGTGGTCCTGCTGCAGGTCAGTGTCTCGCTGTGTGTGTGACTGTCACTTCCACAGCCACGTGGCACTCTGTGCTTTCTAAGCTGGGTTCTGGATAGGCCTGGTGATAGGCAGGGTTGGAGCTCAGTCACTGCCTCTGACTTGCAGGGTCAGTCTTGAGCTCTGTTGTGAGTCATTTCCATATCACAGAACTGAAATGATGCCCACGGGGGTAGCAGATGCTGCTACGTGGAGTTTTGAAGGCAAAATGGGAAGAGAACATTTCTTTCATACAGCCTTGTGCAAGCAGAAGGGAGAAATAAGGTGATTTTGGATTAGGGGCTGACTTCTCACAGTAACTCTACAGTCTGAATAATAACAGATAAGTGTGTTTCTGACTTAACTTTCAATTTTTCAGTTTAACACCTTTTAAAAATTATCTTCAGGCAAACAGAGATCCTGATGCTGGAGTTGATGAGAGTCTTGTTGAACAGGATGCTCAGGTGGGTGAATGACTTTTGGTTTTGGGGCATTTCTACAAGTTATCTTGCAAAGCAGATATATAGCTAGAATTCCAATGTGAGAGAGAAATTAAGTTTTCTCTGTGCATTTGTTAATATGTTTTCCTGTGTTTATAAGTTCTGGGTAAAAGAAATGTCAAAATCTGAAACAATGGGATCAAAATTTTTGGCACATCTTGTTCTGCTTACTATTAAAAGAGATGCCTGAATGAAACAGTGATTAGGTCACTGGAAAGGGAGAGTTATAATTGCTGAGGTTTTGTGAGGCTGAGTTTTTCCACTGCTGGAAAACTCAGAGCCATGAACAGCTCATTCCTTAATATCTGACTTGAGCTGCTCTCTGAATTTAATCCATTGTGCATGCCTGCTCTCCAAACCTGTGCTCTGGATGAAAAGGAACACCAGCAGCTAATTGGTGTCCTTGGTGCAGTCTCTTGCTGGGTGCCAGTTGCTTTGTTAGTTGTAGTGATGGTCAATATTTCAGCCACTTGGTTACAACTCCCTTAATACACATTTCTTCTCAGTTATTTCTGGGGTGGACATTTTGCTCTAATAAATGGACTGTTGAAGTGGAAGAAAACACACAGATTGTTCAAGGTGACAAGGAGTAAAAGCAGAATATCAGATCAATAAAGCATTCCCCTGATAGCACAGCAGGATGGAGAGACAGACTGGCAAAATCTGTTTCACTGGTACAGGCCTGTCCTTCGTTACTTAAATTCAGAAAGCATTGTTCTCCTGCTATTAAAGTGAATTTCCTGTGGAAATTGCAACCTGAAAATGAATGGAGCAAGTGTTGGAATCATGAACTAGACTGCTTCATGAAAGTGTCAGTCTTGGCTTTAGCTGGGCTTAGGTGATTGAGAAAACCCATGAAGCACAGGCCTTGGGAGGCAGATTCCTTCTGGCCTCTCTAATTGAGTTGAAATGAGCATCTACATTTAGGGAGCACCACACCTAAATGTTGAAAGAGTCCTGGGTTTCTAAACGGTCTCTGTGGTTTGCTACATACATTTGACTTGAGCTGAGACCTTGAGTCGATGGACTTTACATTCCCCATCCAACAGAGCTGGAACAGGTTCAGTAATTTTATAATTCCTGTTGCCAGGTACAGATGGTCAGAATTGAGGTGCATGACTGTGCAAATATTAGACTGGTTTTGACTTTTCAATGTTTTTTCTTGAATCACGTGATATTCTGGAAAGGATTGATACATTAAAAGGCAAAATTTTTACTCAATGGTGATTTTTAATTTTTGGGAGTCTACAATTATTATTAATTCAAAACAGTTGGGGGACTTTTCTGAGAATGCCTGAAGGGGAAAGTTTAACTTTTTGAAAAAGATTTTTATGAATATCACTTCTTTAAAGTTAAACAGTTGAGGTACACTTGGGGTATTGCCCAGTGGCAAGGCAATGAATGTGCTAAAATGATTAAATGATAAAAATCTGGCTGCATATGACTAAGAATTATCAGCCCAGGAATCTGTTTCTAAATCCATCTTCCCCTCTGTGTTGGAAAACTTCCTTCTGGGCCAAGTCAGCATGGATCTGCCACTGAAGAGTCCATGTGTGACAAAGTTTTCCTAGTCTGGCTTGAAAAAGGGAAAGGAAAAAAGGGCAGAAAAAGCAGGGAATAGATTTTATCTGCTGTATTATCCCAATTTCAGAAAATTTCAGGCTTATGAAGGGGCTTTGTGCAGTCAGTTTGTGTGCCTTAAGCAGCATTACTCATGTAAAGGCTTTCACAGTCAATTTCAGATTTTTTCTTGTATTTCTAAGATGAGTTCAATGCTTGACGATTTTATTTCATTTTTTTCCCTCCAGCTATAGCTTGTTAGTAGGTTTAATGCTCCTTAGGGTGAGACAAATGGAGCTGTTCAACAGGGTGTGTGGACACGTGACAAATGCTGCTGTTCTGATTTCTTGAACTCCCAATAGGTCCTGTTTAGAGCTGGGGAGCTGAAATGGGGAACAGATGAAGAAAAGTTCATCACCATCTTGGGAACTCGCAGCATTTCCCACCTAAGGAGGGGTAGGTGATGAGGTTCCTGTGTGCCTGAAAGCCAGCTCATGTCTAAGTGCATACTTCTATTAGCTGTTAATAAAGAGACAATACCTTTGTTCCCCTGCTCCTTATCCATTCATTAGTCTGTTTGACCAGGATGTTTAGGCCATTGGAAATGAAGATGCAGGGGTGTGTTGTGTGGTAACCATCTGAGAGGAAAGTGGGGCAGAGGGAAGAATGAGTGGATGGATAATGACACCCAGATGGCATTATCCTGCCCTGGGGAGGGACAGGGAGGAATGCTGGCTGTGCACCTCACTGGGGACACTTTGTGTTTTGCAGTGTTTGACAAGTACATGACTATTTCCGGCTTCCAAATTGAAGAGACCATTGACCGGGAAACCTCTGGTGACTTGGAGAAGCTGCTCTTGGCAGTTGGTAATTGAGTATTAATGAATCTAGAACTGGCCTTCTTTGCCTATTCCCAGGCCTCTTTAAATGGCAGTTGTTACAGGAAGTGGCATGAAAACACGGTTCTTTTTGCAAGTTAATCACCTGGGGTCTCTTTTGATATCTAGAGAATGGGCCTTTTTTCCTTCTTTGTCAGGGGGGGGCTGGTGGGCAGGTGGTGAACTGCATGTGACACAGAACATTGTTTTGGGTTCCTGGCAACCCACTTAGGACAGCATTGGGGTAATTTGCAACTGGGAGTAGAATTTGACTAGGAAAGTCTCTTTTCCATTAGAAATAAATGGTATCTTCTAACTCCCAGAACCCAGAGAGCTGGAACAGAGCAGGTGACAACTGGATACTTAATTGTCCCCGCTGCAGAGAATGACCCAGTAACACACACCTTGCCTTGGCAATGGGGGGTTGTTCTGTATTGAATAACAATCAGTAATTCAATCATTTGCCCTTTTCTCAGTGAAATGCATCCGAAGTGTGCCTGCCTATTTTGCTGAGACTCTCTATTACTCCATGAAGGTATGTACATGTTTCCATCCCCTCCAGCTACACTTCCTCTCCCTTTTGCTTGTTCTTAACTTCTTTCACTGTAAGTACCAACAGGAAGCTGCATCACTAAGAATCTGCAAAAGGTTCGGGAAATGCTGATCTGAGAGAGGATACAAGCAATTCATAAGGTTTTCTTTGAGTTCTTCATAGGTTTGTCAGACTGTAAATCATTTACAGTCTCATCAGCTGTTGGTGCTGTTACACTGGAAAATGCCTGGTTCGATGCACTGGGCACTTTCAGCTGGAGAGATTACAGTGTTTTCAGGTGGTAGATCTACTGAGGAAGTGAAGATGACCAAAAACTGAATTGTAAACTGTGCAAATCAGCGCTCTTTGTTTTGGAGCTGAGTATTTACAGACTGAAGGCAGAGTTACCTTTGAAACATGTTTTAATTGCTACCCACCCCTTTTTGAGAAGGAAAAAAAAACTCCTCAGGGAAAAGGAAAGAGGCTTAAACAGCTACAAAAATTTATGCAGGGGAATCACATTAGCAACACATCTGTGTTTCTGTTGGCTTTGCCTTCTCTTAGATGGGAAGAGATAAGCAGGGAAAACTGTATTTTTAACTCCCAGTGCATAATATTAATTAAACTAAGGTTGGTAGTCTGTTGTTTTTAGGCAAGTTACCAGCTTCCCTGAAGAATTCCTCCCTTCCCCTTGCTGGAAAACCTTGAGGTATATTTGTCACCAGATGGTTGTGTTGATGACATGTCAGCATGAGAATTAGTGATAAGACACAAAATGATGGCTTAATTTTTAAAAGTTGCTATATTGCTTTTATAGATACCAATGTAAAATAAGGTTCAGGTGAAAAATACAAAATATTATACTAGTATGCTGAGCTGTATGAGAAGGATTGCTTTTTTCTTACTTCTTAATTTTTATTTTTAAAGAATGCAATTTTCCTGGAGGGTTTAGATTCTTGTACACTTTTATTATGAGGAGCCTGATGAATGTCTGCTGATGAGACCCCCAATTAATATTTTTTAAAATGAATAAATACCATTAAGCACTTCAGATAAGAAAGCTCTTCATCAGTTATTACTTTGGCAGAGGAGTTTGCACTTCTGATTTATCAGTTTGGCATGACAAAGTTCAACACTGAGCAGAGTGTGCTTTCATGATTAGGTGGGGCAGAGCTCGGCTTTTACGGGACTCTAATGTCAAATCCTTCTCAGAAACCACTGGACTCATGGCATAACTTCTGAGCAGCCCTAGGGCATTTTTAGGTGTAATCCAAGAATATTGCACCCAGTCCAAGGATTGAGTGACTCTGAAGATGACCATGGGGGCTCTGCCAGCTCCTTCCCTGAGGTGCATGAGCAGGTCAGCACGTGGACATTTGTATCGCTTCAGCTTGTGTGGAGTCTGCCTTGTATGAGCACAGGGGGCAGGATTTAGTCTGCACAGCCTGCCAGCACAGGAACTTGAAATGCTTGAGATCATCAAGATGAATAAAAGAGTGGAGCATGTTTGTGTGGTTGGAAAAGGTTTATAAAGTTTGCCTTCATGATAAACAGCTGGATAGCCCGTGGAACAAGTTGCTCTGCTGTGTGTTGCTGTACGATGTCACATGCTTTGTATTAGTCACTGGTAGGATTTCTGTGCCCCACTGCAGAACTGACTGCAGTTCTGCACTCTCAGAGTACACTGGAAGGCTGATTTATACGTGATGCTGATTGTGGTGATCAGTTCTCCTCCTGTGTAACCTGGAACTGGGTTATTTTACGTGTATCTGGGTGTTCACAGTTGAAGCCTGTGAGATGAAATGTACAATGAAAGGTCTGACCACGTGGCACTTGATAGAAGTGCAGGGATTAGAACACCCTGCAGGGTCAGTCCTCTGTTCTCCACATTGCAGTGTGAATGTCTTGTGATACCATCCCAGTATTCTCTGTTTTGGGGTTGGAATGTAATGCAGGCATGATTTGAGATGTCACTTGTTGCTTTCTTGTTGTACCCTGGTTGTTTGTATTTGTTTTGTTGTACCGTCTGTCCAGAGCCAACTCATATTTGAGTCTTCTTGAATCTCCTCTCTGTAGGGGGCTGGCACTGATGATGACACCCTCATCAGAGTCATGGTTTCCAGGAGCGAGATTGATCTGTTGGATATTAGACGGGAATTCAGGAAGAACTTTGCAAAATCCTTGTATCAAATGATTCAGGTAAAATGACTGTTGTGTTGTCAGGGAATGCAGGGGTGATTGAGGTGGCTTTGTTGTCACAGTTGATTTTCTTGGGAGGGGATGGATGTGAGCGGAGCTGGATGACACATTGAACTCAGAGTGATGTGGTTGGTCTGCACTTTTGGCAAGCACCACATGGCATTGTTTAAAGTAGGGGACACTTCCTATGGGAAGCTAAAGGTTTCCTTCCAGTGTTCTCTAGGACAGATGCCGTGGGTTTCTGAAATGCCAATTATTCATACACCCTTTTTAGCTACTGCTTCACTTCCTTTTTCTTGCCTGGGTGCCTTGCAGTCAGTGCCTCAGAGAGGGTGCTGGCTCCAGAGAAATGACACTGGGGCTGGGACTCAGAATTATCGCAGGGTTGAAGTTAAAATCTTGGGCTGCGGTATGGAACCTTTGGCACCATTTCCAAGTGGAAAGCATTTCGCTGTGGAACCAGTCTGAATCATGATCCCCTTCGAGTGATGGGAAGGAGCAGGAAGGGAAAGAGCCAGCAAGGAATCCAGAGCCAGCTGTTGCTGCACAGTTGAAGCCAAAATGCTTTTTTTTCCCTTCGATTTTTTTTCATGTTTTATTTTTAAATGCTGCTTTTTACAATTTTCTGTTACCATTCCTGACGTTATGCTCCCTTGATTAGGCTGGGTGGAGTTGCTTTTGGCACTGCCAGTCCTGCCCACGCAGCTGTCCTGTGGATTTTATATCAGAGCTTCCCACTGATTACCGGGAGCAGGGTTGGGGCCTTTCTAAGCCGTGGCAGGTGCACTTTGCTCATCAAATATGTTGCTTTTGGTGCTGCTTTGGGGCTTCTCCTTTGGGCTTCCTCCCTGAAGAGAAATGCATTTGAGTAAACACTGGGCAGCTCAGTCCCAGTAAAGCTTTTGGAGGTTTTTGTATTTCTGGAAGTCTGTCACTGTAAATGTATGAGAGGCAGAGAATTTCCTCGTGTCATTCCTGAGTAGAAAGTCATCCCTGTGGATTTCCTGTGGGTGTGCTGTGCTGGGGCCCTCCTTGGCTGGTGTGTGTGGTGGTGACTCACAGTGACTGCTCTGTGTGTTCACAGAAAGACACGTCTGGGGACTACAGGAAAGCACTGCTGCTGCTCTGCGGTGGCGAAGATGACTAATGGGCACCCCCGGGATCTCTTGTACTCCAGCTTTGCACCCCGTAGTTGGCACGTCTGCCTAAGTTTTTATACCTTAATGCTTTGTGGCTGCTTGAATTTATACTGGCATTGCACTTATTAGGAATGAGCATATTGTTATCCAAACGATCCCTTCTTCTCCCCCACATCCCAACTTACAGGAGTTTCAAGTGCCTTCGGTGATATGAGAGTCATCTTCATGGAAGATGGATGCTGAGAACCAAGTTCTTTGCAAGGGTTTTTGCTGAAATAGGAAAAAATAATGTATTGCACTAATCATTTGCAGGTTATCCTTTTGTGCACACATTTCCCCTGAATGTTAAGCTGGTTCTAACATGGCAAACAAAGCAAAGATATCATTTGTATGTAATGTCTGAATGAGTTTGCTGGACATAACACTAGCAACCATTGGAAATCTACAGGACCAATAAATTTTTCCCCTCTTATCATAGTTGTATGTGGTTTTGAATCTGTTTTCCCCTTCATATGAAATCACTGCTCCAAATTGTTGGTAAACATTTCCTACTGTTTGTCAAGTTTCTAAGGACATATATGATGTTTTGCAGCTCTCTATCTTCAGGTCTAGCCTAGGATATGGTGCTGCTGCTGTTCAGTGTAGCTGGGAAACCAAATTACTGGTGCTTGCTGGGCATTGCATTCTCATTCTGTGCTGCTTTGTCTCTCTCTTCTCCAAAGCTGGGGGAAGGAAGGGGAGCTGTTGCACAGTGCCAGAGTAGAGCAGATTGTAGGACCAGCCACAGATTTCTGGGATGGAAGCAAGTGAAGAAGAGGTGGCAAGACGGTGATGAGTCCTTCAGTGATCTTGGGTGACAAGAGGATGGCTGCAGCACCACTTTCATCTCATCAGGTTAGCAGGGAGCAAAGCCCAGGCTGAGAGAAGCACCAGCCTGTCACATGGGCTGCCTTAAATTCTCTGCTTTAGTTCATCATCTGGGACTGGCTCTGAAAATTAAACTGACATGTGTGAAGGAGAGGAAAGAGGCTTCTGTCTCATGCATTAGAAGGGCTAAACACTGTGATTCTAAACTGAGCTTATCAGTTAGTCACATCAGCTGTGGAAACTGCACATTCTAATAGTCCTGTTGAAATCGATTCTTCACAGCTTATTAAGGGCTCTAACACTTTCCTATTGAATAAATGTACAAGTTTTAATTTTTGTATTGTAATTCGGAATTAGTACTGTCATGATCTCCTGCTACCGAAGTACTTGGTTTTCAGTGTATAATATGAAAGCTCTTTTTAGAAGTAAATATGTCAACTAAGGCCTTATCCACTCTCAACCTTTGTTTTCCATTCTGTCACAGACAGGCACTCCCTCTTTCCTGCTCATGCACTCTCACTTTCACTCTTTCTGTGTCCTGCTTCTTTTTGTCCAAATTTAAGACTTATGGATTTGGGGTTTTGTGGTTTATTTCTTTAAGTGATTTAATACTTGCCAAGGCAAAATCATGCATAGAAATCTTTGCTAAGGCACTGCTTTCTACTGCTTCAGAGATTGGACATTGTATTTAATTTTTCAACTTCTTTCAGGTTCTTTGGAACTTTTAGGAAAGTAGCATTTGATCTTTGTGCTTTGTTATCAGTCCTCTTGTAGATTTTGGTGAAGCTATTCCAGCAAGGGTTGAACACTGTCACAAACCTGATGCTTATGGTTTGAGTGGAACGATCTAAATTACTGCCAGCATTTGTAAGTAGTAACTCTGAACAGGAGTTGTTGGGGTCAGTGTAACATCAGACACCTGCAGAAAGTTTGAAGATGCAAATGGGCAGAAGTATTTGAAATTCTCTTTTGAAGTAATTAAACTTGCTTTAAGAAGTCTAACTAAAATGGAAGGAATGTTATTGAATTATAATATTTCTAGTATTTAGTATGTCACACCCTTTTATGAATGCAGAATTTGGTATTTCCAGTACAGCATGTTCCTGAGAGAGCTTTAAACTACACCTACCGATGAATTAATTACTTCCTTTGTGGCAGTAGTTCATCACTGGTGTGTTTGGGGTTTTTTCCTCTCCATCTTCTGATTTTGGTTCATGAAAATTTGTGTTCTGTTGATTTCTGGCACAACTTTGTGTTGAGAAATCCCATCCATCTCATTGGTAAGTCAGGAGCCAATTGAGCATGAGCACTAAAATCAACCCTTGCTATCCATGAAGAATCTGTTTTAAAGCCAACTTCAGTAAATCAAATATTGTTTTGCCTGAAGAGCCTACTGCCCTTCCTCTTTTCTGTCCCTCTTCCCCCCACAGGACAAAGTGGTTTAGGAGCTACTATTTTATCATGAGAAATATGGAACTCTGTATTTGCTTTCTTCACATGTTTATCTGTGCACTATTGCACACACAGTGTATTGGGGGGGGGGAAAGTGATCTTTATTAGCTTCTTTACTTGATTTTCCCCTCAGTTTTTTACTGAAGCATATGAAATTATGATTTTGCTTGATTTATTTTCCTGATAAGTGCTATTCTTATTGTTTCTTTATCGAACTTCAGCTCTCTGACAACTGGAATTGCTGTGGGCATTGATTTACTCAAATCTGTCTTGAAAGCAATAATTTATGAACAAAGCAATATTATGCATGAGGAGCTCTAAGCAGTAACTCCTCTCCTTTTTGTTTTAGTGTTTAATACATCTAAAAGTCAAGCATCAGCCAAGTTACCCACATATATCCATAGCTAGACATTTATAACAGGCAGGCTCTTATCTGCCTCCACTTGGCATTCAAGGAGAGGTGAGGTGGCTGGTGCAGAACACGCAGCTGTCCTGGATGGCTTTCATCAGAAATAGTAACTTTCTCCTCCTTAATTAACCCTTACTGTGTCTTACAAGTTGGAAATGGAAAAAAAAAATCTGAGAAAGTAAAAATGATGTTGTTGAAAAAGAATCCAGAGCCTGGAGTAGGTATGTGACTCAAAAGCACTTTGTAGGTAGGTAAGTCACCTGTCAGTTATCCACAGGTCATTGCTCCTGATGTTGCATTTCTGACTTCATCTCTTTGACTCAGTAAAGCTTCCAGTCACGTGGTTATTTTGTGCCTGTCCAACAAAGCACCTCCAGAAACGCTGCAAATAAAGCAAATAAACCACAAAGGGCTTTTTCTTGTCGTGCCTTCAAGAAGCTTTGCTGTAATCACCAAAAAGAGCTGACTGGTGAGGTTTGCTTCCAGCTTTTTGGTGTCTGTAGTTCCAGCTCGAGTTTGTCTGGGTGTCGATGGAGTGAGAGCGAGTTGAATTCCCATTTCCCGAATGGGAAATGGGAATTCAACTCGCTCTCACTCCATCCACATGGTACCTGTGTCATTCACCGTGCGGGCAGGGGATGGCGCTGTTGTTCCAAGTAACCCTGTGCAGGTCATGGTGCTGCTCAAGATTTCCCTTCTCTCTCGAATCACATTTTTAATGGTTTTGTTTTTTGGTTTTTTTACCTCTGTCAGATTGCTTTCCTCAGCCTAAAGCATGAGTCAGACAATTGATTTTTTTGTTATTCTGTTTTCTGAATCCTTTAATATAATTTTGTGTGCGCTATGGAATGAGAGAGAACAGTGAACTTTATTGGAAACAGAAGCTGGGTTTACACACACGACATTTTTATTAATGTTAAACATTTCCCTTCTGCAGTCTGAGCACAGACAACCTCCACTATTCCTCCCCAGTCACAGTTAAGAAAAAATTAGAAAATCCGTTTTTGTTAAACTCATGCATTTACAACTTGTCAGTTCAGTGGAACAGATTTTGCTGTGCAATATTATTTCATATACAGGGATTTCTCACCTGCAGTCCCTGAATTATTACCATGTTTTAGTAAGCCTGGGGGGTTATTTTATACCATCCAAGCACCAGCATGATTGCCCTGTGCCGTGTACAGCAGTGGGAAGGCTGTGGAGGATCTGATATTTTAGGAAGTAACTGTGTAATTAGCAGGGAAAACTCAACACTGTCATGGAGCAGAAAGGACAGGAAAGGTGATATTTTGAATTTTTCTGGTTTTATTTCAACCGGTTTTGTATGATGTAATAACAAACTGAGAGCAGGAAAGAGGAATGATAGTGTAAGGCACCAATCTAATCTGCTACTACAAGAGTGAATGGCCGGAGTAATCTGCCATTGATGTCTGTGGGCAGTGGGCTCATCAATCCTCCTGGATCTAGAGCACATGCACATACACTCCATCCTCAGAGTAGTCTAATGGGGTTCACTTCTGGCTGCTTCTACCCTTCATTTCAGTAGGTAGCACAATGGTAGAACAACAGGTCCCAGTCTTGTCTCTCTTTTACACACACCTATGAAGGAAAAAAGTCCCACCTACACTGGTTGGCATTTTTTTTCCACACACTTTGCAGTAAATGTGCTTCCCTCTTACCCTTCCTATTCTCAAAGCCTCTTTCAGTAACAGGCTACAAGCTGAATATAATGAGGCCTAAAAGGCACAACAGAATCTCTGAAATCCAGTGAAAATGTCATTAGAAGCCTTACTCTGGATGTTCAGCACATGTTGTGTTCTTTCATGCTGACTGCTTTGTCTTTGTATGCAGAAGTATTAAATCAGGGAATTTATTCTGGATGCCTCTAAAACCTCATTAGCTATTTTGCCTATTTATCTGTGCTCATCCTTCTGGCATTTTATGTTTACTTTTAGAAAACAATCCTTTGATGATAAGGATGAATGCAGGAAATTAAGAGCTGATAGGTCCTGATTGTGCTGGCACCAAGTGACTATGAATGCCAAAATAAAAGGAAAAGAAGTGCATTCATTTTTGGTGGGTTTCAGCAATGGCAGCTTAGTGTTTCCAACTGACTTTCCACTGTTGCCATCCACCGCTGCTATCAAATAAGCCAGTGTTTAATCACAGCTTACAGCTGTATTTATTCACCATCTCAGTAGCAGTGTTTGCATTATATATTACATGCAGACCCCCATGGGGGCTGCCAAAATTTTCCTTTAGTGATGACATAGACATGGTTGACATGACTTGGAAGAAAGAATGAGGCTGGTTTTTTTGCTTTTGTGTTGTTTTTTTTTTTCCCTACACTCGCTCTCCTTTTCCTTCCTGCTTTGTGTTAACAGGATCTATAAAATGTTTTAAAATCTTCTCTCCAGGTAATGTAACTTGCTGCTCCATGGAGAGCATCCCAGTGACTCTCCCACACAGCTGGTATAGAACATCTCTTAACCTTAAGGGTATAATACAGCAACCACCCTGTAGTGCCATTTACAGTGAGTAAAACCACATTGCCACCCATCAAAAACATCCTCTGGCTACAGGAAACAAAACCCAGGCAAAATGATTGCCTGATTATTTAACCTGTTTACTTTGTGTTTTGCTCAGGACCCACTGTGTCACCTCCACTCAGGCTGATGGATCCTGATGTATATTGATCTGGAGCCTCTTGCTGTTTGTCTCATCTGTCTCCCAGGGCTCTGGTG